CTATATATATATATATATATATATATATATAAAAAAGTGGTAAATTGCTAAAGTGTTTTTTGTTTTTTTTAAATTATGCAATGACTTTTTTTTTACCCTTAAACTTTACCTTTTGCTTGAACAGCGAAGGCATTTTGGACCTGGGTGAGGTAGAGGACCATGGACAACTTGTCTATCTGATCACTTTTGGCTAAGTCACTGGCGGACATGACAGGCGGGATGCCCAGCTCCTTCTCTAAGATACTGAAGGCCAGTTGGTGGTTGTGAACAGCACTGGACTCATCCAGGGAGGACATGTCACTGTGTAGGAATTAGAAAAACTGGGATTACTCTACATTATTAATTATAGACAGTCTTTTCCCAGCAAACATGACAATCACATGTAATGTGTTAAATGCAAATACTTCATGCAAACTTCTTTCAAAGAGCTTTGTCAAAGTAACACAATCAAAACCAGTACATACAGCATCCTGCTATCCCATGAATACTAAGCTAATGCCAGGGGAGCAACTCACATGAGCTTAGGTCTGAAGTGGTGGATCAGAGCACACAGAGCCAGCCCGGACGTCCAGGATTGGGTAAAATCATTTATAGTCACATTCTCATAACCCGCGGTGTGCTTCTGACACCATCTCAACAACTCTTCAAAACCATTGACAGAATCTGCAGTGACAAACAAAGACAAATCATCAAGACAATGCTCTACAACCACAGTAAGGTGGTTTCAGAGTCATAAAAACATCCCTCTGGTGTGTAAAGATGGTGTGAGTGAATTGTTTGTTTTACGAGGTGTCATTGTTGACCACAGACTGCTTCCTGCTTTACTTAACACAGCTGAATATAGCCGTCGTACAGGCCTCGAGTGCCTGCATGATGAAGAGCAGCTGACCTTGACGCACTGGAGACAACCGGCTCTTCTGATTCTTGATCGATGGATTGAATTTATCAACATCATATAGGTGCTGCACCTAAATACAGTGACAGGGAGATCAATCAACATTCAGACTAAATTAACTCTTAAGCAGTTCATCAAACAGAATTTGTAAAGCATAACAAATATACTGTTTAATCCAACCAATACTTGTTATTTACTGTGACCAATTCAAAACCTAACAATTATACTTTGTGAGAATCAAAACCCCTGTGTAGCCACAGAAATGATGAATATTAGCAGTGTTAATTTAATGACAACACGTATATAAAACTCTTAATACAGAAGAACAGCTATGGAGCAGTTACTCAAGCCAATACTTATTTCCATAGTATTAGGACAGAAAGCAAAGTCTATTTGTTAACATTGCTTTGCTTTTATGAGGCTGTGGGGCAAATGTTGCGGCCGCTGATGGCACCATTAATTGCGCATCATTTGCCACCGCTATCTGCCTCTTCTCAAGGTCCGATTCACAAAAGATACCAGGCTAATGATATTACAGTAAACACGCCCGTACACTTTTACAGCTGAGTGCAATTTGCTCTTCTTTTGAGTCTGATTAAAATGATCTATGTGGAAAAGTAGAAATGCGCTTGAGGCCAATGCATCGGTTGTGAAGGGTGAGATTCAGCCTGAGTAGGGGCTCGCCAGAATGTCACTTCCATCCAAACATCCGGAGGGCAATAAGGAGAGAGTAAAGGGAAAAATGGAGGCCCAGGATTTGGGAAAGGACAGAGAGGGAAGAAAGACTTTCCTAATCTAGCTTTATTCATTTATTTTTCATGACACAACTGTCATTGCATCCCGTCACTGCTTTGTAAAAAGTAAAGAGTTTGAGTGGACACCCATGAAGACACTAATAATTTCCCTGAAACTGTTTGGCTATTAGCGCCGATCTTTGTGAATTGGACTGTTTTTGCAATAAGGCTCATTTGCATAGAAAAGGGGCAGATTTTGTGCTAAATGTGTGCGTATTACCAGAGTTAAACACATACAAGTAGCACAGGAGCACAGAGACACTACTTGCTTGGCAGCACAGTTAGGGGTTCATTTCACTCTTTGCAGGTGCTTTGAGAATTATGTTTCTTTTTGTCATAATTGTGCAGGTTTAACGGCCGCAAAAGCCAGGCCAACCTTTTGTGAATTTGCTCCTGAGTGTACTAGTCTGTAATCTGCTGCCTTGACCTCCATGATGATTAAAGTGACTGATTCAAATCTCTGTTGAGTAAATAAAGGATAACAGTCCTGACCTGGTTGGTCTGGATGGATGAGAGGTTGGCTCTTGTGTACCGCGTTTTGGGGTCAATGCTGTAACCAGCGTAGTTTTTGCTGGTGTTTTCTGGTGTGGTCTGGGACAGGAGCTGGTAGATACTTTCACTGTGAAGAAACAAAAAGAGAGTCATTTAAAACAAAGCACAGCCCCCAAATCAATCAACAGATGGAAACACAGAGAGGAGATGAAATTTAAAAGGAAACGGAAACTAACACTAATAAAGGAAGAGTGAGATAT